AAACATGGAGTCGAAACTGGCGTGGTCGCTATTCGTCGGTCGACTTTTTAGTTCGTCAATATTCCGCTAAGCGTCATTGCTTCACAACAAAAAAATTTTTTTTTTTTTTTTTTCTTATTTTTATGTTTTTTTTTTTATTTATTTAAATTACAAATTCTAACAGTTACATTTTATGTTTTTAAAAATAAACAAAAAAATTTTAAAATAATTTAACATTTTATTCAATATGCAATAATATATGTATTACTTTTTACTTATTTATTTTAGTTTTCACTAAGGATAGGCTCTGAAAAAAAAATTTTTTTGAACGTTTTGAAATAATATATTTTATTTTGTTTAATTAAATTATATTAAATGATTACAATTTAATTACAAATATAAATTTTAAAATAATTATTTTTTAAATTCTCATCCAATAAAAATTAAAACAAAATGAAGAAAAGAAAAATACATGTTAAAATTATTTAGAAATTTTTATATGTTAAAGTTAAGGTTAAATTTTTTAACCAAGTAAATAAAATTAATAAAATTTTTATTTATTAAATACAAATAAATCTATTTTACATTATTTTAATTTGATGAAATTTTCAATAGATAAAAATTTTTTTTTATAAAAAAAGTAAATTAAAAAATAGAACTCATGACGTCAGAGAAAACTCCATGATTGGTTAACTGATTTTGACGTCACAATATTGATATTTTGAATGTATATTTGGAGGGAATTTTCAAATTTTAAATTCTCCAAGTCCTCTTTCAATATTTAATATTTTATTTGCATTCTTGAATATTTATTCGCCATTAATAAACATTAATTTTAAAAATAAAACATAAACTATAAAATGCAAATAAAAAAGAAAACTCATTTTAAATTATTTTTATGTTACTCTTTTTGGCTTTTTATATATTTTTAAAACAATTTTTTCAAAAAAATGTGAAAATATTTAACAGTTATACTTAACATTAACTCTTTGTTACAATAAAAATTTGTTTTTTTGAACCACTTTTAATAAAAATCAAAATTTTATTCAATCATAAAATTATTCTTTTTTCTTTACAATATAAAAATATTTTAAAAATAAATTTATGAAGTTTTTTTTTTTAAAACGATAGATGTAAAAAAATTTAATCGTTTGCTTTTAAAATTAAAATAATTAAAAGGTTTTGTTTAAAATATTTTATATTATTATATATGCAAAATTCTGTTCATTGTATTTATACAAACTATTTAATCACAAAATTTTTCTAATACTTCATATTAATTATAATTTCTACGGACACTGTTACTGAATTATTTTTTTTCTTCCGGCCAAGACCAATCATTGTTATTAGAATTGGCTTTAAATAACTCATATTTTCTTCTCCTATCAAAATGCTGCACCTAAAATATTTATTATTTACATGTAAACAGTTATTAAACATAAAAAATTACAATAAAAATTATTTAGGTATTTCATTACCCATTGTTTAGAACAATGCTTTTCAAATTCCTTTCTCATTTCTAAACATTTTTCAGCTACCTCATTATTTTTATCTAAACAACTCCAATAATTATCTCTATGATTCCAACACTTTTCTCTATCTTCCTTAAAAGGAGAATTCATCTGCAAAATAAATTTTTTTTTTTTTTTTTTTTGGTATATTAATGTGTTAATAGCAATTTATAACATTTTTTATGTAAAAAAAAAAAAAAAAAAATGAATAATAATGGCTATCAAAACTATTAAATTAAAATTTTAACTTACATTAGCTAATATTTAAATGTAATAAAATATATCTTACACAATTTTATTAATTAAATTCATTTAACTTTAATTATAATTTTTTTTTTTTATATCACCGACATGCTGATTATTACGGTTGCAGACAACAGCTAGATCCACGTTTTTTTTTCAAATTTTATAACCACGACTAATTTAAAATGACTTTTCGCTTTTTAAAAAAGAGTTTACATTCAAAAATTATGCGAATAATTAAATAATTGTTTTTACGTATAAGATAATTTTAAGTATTCTATTTCAAGTTTCATATTTTAATTCGTATTTTTTTTTAAAACTCACATCTTGTCTTAATTTTTGTTTTTTTTTTTTTTTTTAATTTTGTCAAAATGTCATTTTTTTGGTGTTTTAAAAGTGCATTTCTCTTAGTTGTCGTATTAACTAATACATTAACCGTTGCTAGTAAATATTCTGTTGAAGATTATCAACCTACTCAAATTCATATTGCTTTTGGAAACACCGTGAGTGACATAGTCGTAACTTGGGTCACTACTTCAAAAACGAAACATTCGGTTGTTGAATACGGATTAAATGGTTTAATCGATAGAGCCGAAGGAAATCAAACATTATTTCGTGATGGTGGAAAATTGAAACGAAAGTTTTATATTCACAGAGTTCTTTTACCGAATTTAATTGAAAACGCGACTTATGGTTTGCCTTATTTTACACTTTTATCTTTCTTTTATATTTTCCCATGTCTTTTGCGTTATAATACTGTTTATTTTTTTATTTTAGAATATCATTGTGGAAGTAATTTGGGTTGGTCAGAGCTTTTATTTTTTCGAACATCTCCAAAAGGTTCAGATTGGTCACCCTCATTTGCTATTTATGGTGATATGGGAGCTGTTAATGCACAGTCTCTTCCATTTCTACAAACAGAAGCTCAATCAGGAATGTATAATGCCATTTTTCATGTGGGCGATTTTGCTTATGATTTAGACTCTGATAATGGTGAAATCGGAAATGAATTCATGAGGCAAATACAACCAATAGCGGCTCATGTACCATACATGACTGCCGTTGGAAATCATGAAGAGAAATAGTAATTATATTTATATATAATTTTAATTATTGTTTTAGTTTTACTTATTTAAAATTTATTATTTTTTTTTCAGTAATTTTTCACACTACAGAAACAGATTTTCAATGCCTGGCGATACTCAAGGTTTATTTTATAGTTTTAATATTGGTCCAATACATTTTGTCGTTTTTTCAACAGAGTTTTATTATTTTCTAAATTATGGTGTTAACTCTTTAATAACCCAGTATAATTGGCTTCGTAAGGATCTCAAAGTAATATAAAATTAAATTTATATAATTATAATTAATGAGAGAGAGAGAGAGGAATAAATAAGAAGAAGAATGTATAAACTATGTTTTATTATTAGGAAGCTTCTGCTCCTGAAAATAGAACTGTAAGACCTTGGATTATAACTTTAGGTCACAGGCCAATGTACTGTTCAAATGATGATAAAGATGATTGCACTTTTATAGCAGATTCAGTTCGCGTTGGACTTCCTCCATTTATATCATTCGGATTAGAAGATTTATTTTATAGGTATGGAGTTGATGTTGAAATATGGGGACATGAGCATAGTTATGAAAGGACTTGGCCTTTATATAATTACAAAATTTATAATGGCAGCACTGGTGTAAATCCTTACCATAATCCTGGAGCTCCTGTACATATTATAACTGGATCAGCTGTAAGACTTTCCTGCTTCTTTTTGTTTTGTTTTTAACATGATTAAATTGCACTCGATATCTATTTCAAATTTTTTCACAGGGTTGTAATGAATATGTGGATCATTTTAAAAGTAAACTTGGAGATTGGTCAGCTTTCCATAGCTCTGATTATGGATACACTCGTATGAAAGCTTATAATAAAACTCATTTATATTTTGAACAAGTTTCCGTTGATAAAGATGGTTTGGTGATTGATAATTTCTGGATTGTCAAAGATTTTCATAAATCCTACCTAAATTTAAAAAAAAATTAAAATTACATTATCAGTGACAAAAACAAAAAAAAACCCCCTGTTTTAAATGAAACAAATATATATTATATAAAATGTTACAAAAAAATAAATGAACAAAAATTTTATAGATATTATTTTTTTTGTGATAGTTTAATAAGATTAACAAAGCAATACTTATTCCATATTGAAATAAAATGTATGAAAAACATGTGAATCGTTTTTTTTTTTTCTTTGTTATGCAGAGCAAATGACTTTTATTTAAAAAAGGGTGGGTGATTATTATTGTGACTAGAAATCGATATGAAATTTTCTGCTTAGTAATTAATTATTAAAAAAAAATTAGAATTTCAAAATAGATTATTACTCTTTATATTATGAAAAAAATGTATAGAATAAGTAAAAGTACTAAACTTTTTTTATAATTAAATGAAATTATTAAAATTTATAAATAAATATTCAAAAAAAAATAACAAAATTAAATATTTCTTTTTATTTTCTCACTAATATAACTATATATTTTTATAAACTTTAAATAGTAAATGTCTCAAATTAATAAATAAATAAAAAAAAAAAATGAGCAAAAAAAGTCGGAATATAATAAATAATGAATGTTAATCCACATTCGTTAATATTTGCAGAAAAAATTCTACCGCTAGTATTAATGAATGATAAATTCTAATATTTTCTTAAGTAAAATAAAAAATTTAAATAAAAATTATAAAAAAAAAAAAAAGATGTTTTGGCACTTGTTTACCCTAAATAATAAAAAATTAAACAATTATCGGGATTAAATTAACTACCGATTACGACAAAAAAATTATATATATATGTAAAAGTCAAATCTAATTAGTATCCAAAAAAAAAATTATTTTTTTTTTTAATTGAGATTATAAATTGGGTTGAAATTATTTGGCAATAATCAACCGAGTTTTAGTCTGATAAAATTGACCTTATGAAATTTGTTTTTATCACCTTAACTTTACAGGATCAATAAGGGCATGACCTTTGCCGAATGGATTTTCTTTCCATGTAGCTATACATGTATTTTTAACTGAATTTTCCTCTTTTCTCTTTTTGCAATTTTTATAAAAACAATTTTCAGCATATTTTTGAAACTTGAAAAAGAGTTTATTATCATTTCCTAAAGGACCAATTAAATAATCGCAAGCATAACCCGGTTTATCGATACAACATTTTAAATATTCATGATGGGTAGTGTAAAATCTATTAAGCTTAAAGAGACTTATATTTGTTTTCTCCACTAATAAACCAGTAACAAATAAATCATCTATCCAAAAATAATTAATTTTATTCGAAGAGAACAAAGCAATTTTGCGACTTTTGGATTTGTTATGTAAAACCAACCTGACAGGAAATTTGGGTAATTTGATCTTGAATATTCTTTCATTGAAACATACCATTTATTTGTTGACTCTCTAATTGGTTTCATGTGAGTCATAACATAGCCTGCTAATAAATACTTATCTCTGGGTAATTTTTTAATAAAAAGTTTAGTCTGTAGAAATCGAAAATTATGTCATGATCCATTTTAATTATATACTTGGCCTGTTGGCAATGATTAGAAGCCCACTGAAGACCCATTATGTGTTTGTACGTTAAATTTCTATAGTCTTCGATAAAATTCCCTTGGATAATGTCACCGAATCTTCGATTTTCGTCTTCGATAGCAGCTTGTGACACTTGATTATAATTTTTTTTCTCATCAATAAGAGCTAATAAAAAAACTCTACGTACTCCAAACTTTAAAAGTGTTTTAGCGGGGAATGATCTTCTAATTGCGCTTCGTGTTTCTACATCTCCAGCATAAGAAGTCACAATTAAAATTGCTAAAGTGTTTTTTCGAAAAGGTTCTCCACAAACGTCGTTTTTTATTACATATCGAAAATTAGTTAAATTTAACAGTTTCTCATCTTCTTGTATCCATGCTTCATTGAATAATAGTATTTCACTTTGTGCATTATTAACTTTCACACTATTTTCAAGATAAAATATTATAAGAAGAACTATTAAAGATCCAAATATTAGAATAAATGTTAAACATTTTTTTAAATAATTAGAACTACTCCTGGCATACATCAATGGTAAACTTAACACAATTCTTAAATTCAATTTTGATAAAGTGGCAGCAGACTAAATTCTAAAGCCAAAGTCCCTTTTACCGCCTTTTTACCGCCACTTGTGTGTAATTTTTGTTTACGTATTTAAAGAAATTTAATAATTGTTTTAAAAGTCATTTTTACAAAATGTCAAAGAAAAAAAAATATTATTACATACTTGATGAAAAACTAATTAATGTATCAAAAAATATACCCAATATAGAAAATAGGGTAACCTTTTTAATTAATTTTTATTATTATATAAATATTTTATCTGAATAATAGCATATATAGTTTGCTTATATTTCATTTTAGGCATTAGTTTCTCAGTCATTAATTTCTTCTTATAATTTATTATCTCAATGCGAAGTTTGCAAATGTGAAGAAGCTACCCTAGAAGACTTATCATCATTTCATTCATTTGAATACATTGAAATTTTAAAAAAAATTCAAAATAGTTCAGACTTGGAAGATATGATGAACTGCAGTGAAATTGCTGATTTTAATTTAGGTTACGATTGCCCTTTATTTGAAGGAATTCTTGATTTTGTTAAACTTATCGCAGGTAGTTCTTTGACAGCTGCTAAAAAATTAATTAGTGAAACATTACAAATAAAGAAAAAATCTTTGCCTCACAGTTCACTTAACACCCAACCGAAAAGTTATTTAAAAATGGGACCTGGAACAAACGAATCTAATAATTTGACAAATGAAATAAAACCTAAAATTGATGAATATTGCATAGATAATGATGAAACAAATGATTTTATTGAATCTGATAAAACAAGAAGAAAAGTATATGCAAAATATTGTTTTGAAACAACAATCTCCTCAAATATTCAGCCAATTTCAATTAATTGGTTTGGCGGTTGGCATCATGCTCAAAGAGACGAAGCTGGAGGATTTTGTTATGTGAATGATATCGTTATAGCAATTCAATATTTGCTAAAATTTTTCAAAAGAATATTATACATCGACTTAGATGTTCACCATGGTTAGCTGATACATTAAACAATAATCCATTTTTTTTTTTTAAAAACTTTTTTATTCATGATATCAATTTTCAGGGAATGGTGTAGAAAATGCATTTATTTTTTCACCCAGAGTTCTTACTTTCAGTATTCACAAATATGAACCTGGCTACTTTCCATCGACAGGATCAATAGATGATATTGGAGAAGGGAGAGGAAAATTTTTTACAGTTAATGTACCTTTAAAAAGTGGAATAAAAGATGATAAATACATTAAAATTTTTAATGTTATATTTAATAAAATAATAGAAAAATACAAACCTGATTCCATTGTTGTACAATGCGGTGCCGACACACTTCCAGAAGATCCTTTGGGAGGTTTTAATGTGACACCTTACGGAATAGGAGAATGTTTAAAATCTATTATTAATGTTAAATTACCATTATTGATATTAGGAGGAGGTAAAAAAAAAATATTTGTCAGTTTTTTTTTTTTTTTTTTTTTGTCTTTATTACAAAAAACTTAAAACTAAATTTATATATAACAATATGTACATAATTAATACTGTGACATTTATTGATATGTTACATATTTTCTCTTCACTGCAGGAGGATATAATATTGCAAATACATCAAAATTTTGGACATATTTAACAAGTTTGATTTTAAATTATCCAATATCAAACGATATACCACCTGACGATCCGGTAATTATCTTTATTTAATTTTTTAAATAACAACAAAATAAAAATTTAATCACTTTACAAATTTCTTATTCGTTTATAACAAAAAATTTTATTTCATTGATTAATTATTATTATTATTATTACTTTTGGATATACAAACTCTAAAATACAGTTAAATAAAAAATTATTTTCAGTTTTTAACACTCTACGGACCGGAATACGAGATTAAAATTAATCCGAGCCTACGTAAGGACGAAAACGACGATGATTATATAGAAAAAGTAACAACTTCCGTTCTTGATAATTTAAATGGATTACCGATCACGTGATCGTTCGATTTATTATCAATATCATTATTATTATTGCTAAATTCAATCCAATTTCAAATTGAATTTTTCTATTAAAACATAATGATAATTGGGAATTTCTTTTGCGGCTACTTTATTTTTTAATATTTTGAGAAACGTTCTCATGACCGTGTAAAAATCTTTGAAATTTTTTTTTAAAACGTTAAATTTTAAATGTTCGTATTTACCATCGATTAACATGACGAAAGGTGAGGATACGGTCGTGTAATGAAATTTCAATACTATTTCGATTATGTTATTTAAACATTTTAATAATTCTTCGCTGTCTTTTGATAAAAAACACCTGAAAAAAAAAATCATGTATTAAATTCTACCTGTTTTTAATTAGATTTTGATAGTATTATTATTATCATTTATTACCTTGCGACAACGTTTTTTATAAAACTAACATGTTTTTGATATAAATGATCAATATTTTCCGCCGTTTCTAAATCTTTTAAAAAACTTAACCAAGAAAGTTGAATTCCGTTGAAATAAATATGTTCGTCGAGGGTAACCATAATTTGAGTCATCGTGTAACGATAAAGTTGTATCTTTAAATAGAAAAAAAAAAATGGAAAATTTCTTTTAAAAGAGAAGGAGGAAGAAAAATAAAGATTTTCTTTTATAAATTGTGAAAATTCACCTTGTGATAATGTGAGGATTTGACAAGGAAAAGACCGTTCATTTTTTGACTTTTAAATGACGTGCTTAAATATAATGACGTTTCGTTCAAAACCCAAATAATCCTTT